CTAAAGGGTATGTGGACTGAAGAAAGTTGATGTAAGTTTCTTCTCATAGGTGTTTTGTTATTAAATTTTCACAGAATGTTAATGTTGAAAATTGAAGTGGATTCACATAAACTTCATGTATTCCAACTTCGCTTTCTACTTAATGAGATGATGCATAAATTAATTCTCTCATAAAGCCGGGAGAAATTACATTTTTTATTCAATCACTAATTAGATTGCATTTTCTTATTGAACCTACCACACTTAGGCATGGAAAGGAAAGCTGGAAGTTTTATGCCTTGGTAGACTTGATGTGATACCACTGAGAGGAAGAGCTTATTGAAATTCTCAATGAAAAACAACAAAAAGATTTTTTTTTTCTAGTCTGTTTCCTAAATTCCTTAAGGAAGGCCTAGCAAATGTTTAATTATTTTCAACATGTGTTATAATTTTTGGCATATCAAAAGAAAACTGTTGTTTGTATAGCTTAGGTGAGGGCTATGTTTTACTTATTAAAACTTTGTAATGAAAGGAACTGTATAGTTTCTCTTTAATAATGAAGTAGAGATGATGAATTATTTAGCACCTAACCTCCCTTGGATTTGTAAACACCGATTTTATATGTGGATTATTATTGTGCAGAACCACAAAATATTTGGGTTATTTGACAATTCTTTTGGCAAGTTTAAATTCTTGTTAAAATCATAATACCGATTCCATAAAATGGAAACACTCAACTCTATGATAAACACAGTAAGACAACAACGTGATGGGTTTGTAAATTCAGAGTTAATACAAACAACTAATTTTCATAAATTCAACTTCTGATTTTACCAACTTTTTTAAAAAAGATTAACACAGTCATCAAGTGGATTGGCTTCTAGATTATTCAGTTTCTGATATAATTGTTTATATATTAACGTTTTATATTAGGATAAAAAAACTCACAAAAGTATGTTTATCCCTAATTCAAATGTATACAGAACAAATGTTTACATTTTCATCATTGATTGGATTTAAAAAATATTTAGGATCACAAATGTATACATTGAAAAATACTAACATATGGGGACACCTGGGTGGCTCAGTCAGTTAAGCATCAAACTCTTGGCTCGGATCACGGTCTCATGTTTCTTCGGATAGAGCCGTGCTTTGGGCTCTACACTGCCAGTGCAGGGTCTCTTTGGGGTTTTCTCTTTCTCGGTCTCTCTGCCCACCCCCCCACCCCCCGCTGGCTCTCTTCTTTCTCAAAATAAATAAACTTAAAAAAAATACTAACACATGTTTAGGGTTCAGCTAACTGGAATGTGTCAATATGAGATTTAACACAGATTGAAAGTAAAATCTTTAATCGTGATGAGTTAGTAGCATACCAAAAAAATATTAATAGGGCGCTTGGTGGCTCAATGCTGAGCTATCCCACTTTTGGCTCAGGTCAAGACCTCACAGTCCTGTGAGTTTGAGCCCTGTGACAGCTCCTGTGCTGACAGCCAGAGCCTGAGCCTGCCTCATCCTGTGGCTCCTCTCTGCCCCTTCCCTGCTCATGCTCTCTTTCTGTCTCAAAAATAAATAAAACATTTAAAAAATATTACAGAATAAGTTCATTTTAAAAAGCTTGCCTAGTTCCTTGCATGAGTCGTTAATGCCCCGGGACTTCAGCCAGGTCACGACCAAGGGTCCGATTTCTCGAGCCCCTGGCCAGGTTTCTGGCTGATGGCTCAGAGCCTGAGCCTGTTTCCATTCTGTGTCTCCCTCTCTCTCTCTGCCCCTCCCCCCGTCATGCTCTCTGTCCTAAAAAAATAAATAAAAGTTGAAAAAAAAATTAAAAAAAAAAAAGGCTATTTTGTGTTTAGATATTCAGGAAATAATCAGAATGTTGATATTTGAGCACATGTCTTCTCTTATTCAAAGATTAGCAAAAACAATACGTAGTTATGAAAACTAAAATTTTAATTTTTACATAAAGTTTTAAAATGTTACCATGATAGGATTCCTAACATTTTAATACATTCCATTATATTTTGTTTTAAAAATCTAGATCAGGGGTGAGTGGTTGGCTCAGTCAATTAAACCTCTGACTTTGGCTCAGGTCATGATCTCATGATTCATGAGCTCGAGCCCCACATTGGGCTCTGTGCTGTCAGGTCAGAGTCTGGAGCCTGCTTTGGATTCTGTGTCTCCCTTTCTCTCTGCCTGTCCCCCACTCGCAGTCTGTCTGTCTCTCTCTCAAGAATAAATAAACATTAAAAAAATTACAAAAAATAAAAAAATAAAAATCTAGATCAGAGAAAAACTACTCTGAAATAAAATAAAAAAAGAAAATGTAAATATTAAATATATTATTTTTAATATTGTTTTCACAGAATAAATTAATTTGCAAAACCTATTTGTTATAGCAGCTGAAAAGACAAATTTCATATACTCCTGAATCATAGTAAGTTATAGATTACTGGGGCTCAAATTTTTAAAGAAACCTTTTATTTTTTACTTTAAAAAATTGTGTGTTTGTACACCACTTAGAGTTGGCAGAAATCAGATGGAACATTTGTATTTCCTGGGATAGCTTTCAACCTTTATTGCGCTGAGAATTGTGTGGCAAGTATCAGCTGCACAAACAGGTCTATAGCATGCACCTTAGAAAAACTGGAGGAAAGTATGTAATCATGCCTGTGGTTTTGGTCTCTTTAAATTTACACTTATCTTTTAAAAATGGCAAACATTGCTATTTAACCATTACTGGCAAATAAACTCATTTTCAATCTACCTCATAATTTTTGGCCACACATGATTTGCTGAGAGATGTGAGCCTATATTATTGAGAAATATATAAGCTTAGCAGTTTTATTTTATTTCAGCCACAGGTTTAACTCACTTTCCACACACACTGTTGAGGGTCTGTGAAAGCAGAGTGCAGTGGCTGACATCGCAGCTGTGGGGTGAGACTGTTTCAGTGGAATGATGGCTAAACCACTCTATCAAAGCAGAGCAAACATTTTATAGATTATCTGCGAGGGCAGTTTTTCCAAAACTGGTTAGGTTGACAGAATCATGGGGGCTGCTTGTTAAAGGGAGATTCCCAAACCCAAACAGACCTACTGGGTTGTAAACCCTAGTGCAGAGACCTGGCAATCTGTATTTTCCTCACCCAGCCTAGGTGATCAGGCAATCTCACTTGGTAAAGCAGCTAATCTCACTTGAAGCCTTCAATTGCTCACATTTTTGTTGAATACATAGTATGCAGCCTACATTCTAGAGAGCACCGGGGATACCATGGTAACACAGGAGACCTTCTCCTTTACAGACTAAAGTCTGTAATCCTCTATGTTGCAACAGAGTGACAGCCACCTTTAAAAACTGCTGCCTTTCATGGTAGGGCACATGCTGTTTTATTTTAGTTCAGGCTGCTGTCACAGAATACCATAGACTGGGTGCCTTATAAACAACAAACATTTATTTCTTATAGTTTTGGAGACTAGGAAGTCCCAGATCATAGTGCTGGCAGATTCATTGTCTGGTGAGAACCTACTTCCTGGTTCATGGATGGTCATCTTCTGTGTCCTCACATAGCAGAAGGAGCAAAGGAACTCTCTGGAGTCTCTTTTATAGAGGCACCAATCCCATTCATGAGGGCTTCACGATTCATGAACCTAATCACCTCCTGAAAGCCTCACTTCCAAATGTCATCCACGTTGGAGATTAGATTTCAACATATTAATTTGGGGGAGGGGTGAACAAACATTCAGTCCGTAGCAGGCATTTGATATATCCCACTAAAGTTTGAGACCCAACATTAATTGGTCTCAGAACAGAATCAGAATACATGGGGCTGTATTTTACCTCTCGGTGCTTTTCGTAAAGGTGCTTGGTTTGGTTTGTTGTTGTTTATTTGTTTTTAGGAAATGATGGCATATTCATGACACAGTTCCACTTCATTAGTGGCTCTCACTGCACTTCTGCTTTTTATTATTTCATTTTCATTCTACTGTCGTTCCATCTCCTTTTATAATATATTCAGTGGTCTGATTACTGAATCATTGTGTGGTCTTTTACAACCTAATTAAAAATAACGATGAGATTGGGGTTATGGGAGATAATTTTATTGATGTATTTTACAATTAATTATGTATTGATAACAGTCCAGCATCATTATTTATTATAATTAGGCTAATTATAAAATGTAATTACTAGAATAGCCAAGGTGTTCAACTGCTGCCTAAAGCTATCATTTTGAAATATAACTTTTGCTTACCGATTACTACAACCTTCCTTAATTTGTGGATAAATTATTCTCTATTTCTGTGGAGAAATTGATTTGGGAGCATCAGTTACTTAAGGGAGAAAATAAAATGTCCCACAGTTAAGTCTTTGGAGATCAGATGATGAGAACAACAAAACAGTGTTCAGAAGATGGTCACATGATTATTTTCGTCAACTAATAGAACTCATGACTCGCCTACTACTTAACAAGGTTTGCCAGTTAGGGCATTGTTTAATCATGAAATATTTTGCTTTCTTTTTCATTTGAACCTGGTAGGAATTCTAATGCAGTAACTAGTGTATAATCTACTAGCTTTCATTCTGGAAAAAAAAAATTGAAAAAGCGTAAAAGTACAGTAGGTGGTGAATCAAGCATCTACCGTCGGTCTTTTATAAACAATGAACCCATGGTTGGAAATAATCTTCTCATCGACGCTTTTCTTCTGCCATTGGTGGGTGGTGGATGACCATGAAATAAAGTAAGTGGGAAACCACCATATCGTAACTTCTTTTTGATTTCAACACTTTTTGATTTCTATACATTTGACTTTAGGAAATACATCTCATAAAACTTGCATGGTGTGTGTTGATGCCCACTGTTGACCAACCTTTATCCTTGGAGCACTAAATTGGGTTCAGTAGGCTGAGCATTTTCCCATTTGGGTCCTTAAGTTGGTTAGGATGCTACTGTCTGGAGCAGACGGATGGACAGTTTCAGCATGTATACTAAGCCTTTCCATGTTTTACCTCTGCTCTTGTTACAGAAACCCTCGAAAATCTCATCAGACAAGCAGAGAATTACACCAGTATCTTCTTCTGCAACAGCTACAGAAATATGGCCTTAGAGGCTACAGCTTCAGTTCAGGAGTTCTTCACTGATGTGGGGCTCTATTTGTTTGGCGCAGATGTTCATCCTGAAGAATTTGTAAACAGATTCTTTGACGGTCTTTTCCCTCTGGTCTACAATCACCTCATTAGCCCTGGTGTGACGGACAGTTCCCTGGAATACTCAGAATGCATCCGGATGGCTCGCCGGGATGTTAGTCCCTTTGGTAATATTCCCCAAAGAGTGATGGGGCAGATGGGGAGATCGCTGCTGCCTAGCCGCACATTTCTGCAGGCACTGAATCTGGGCATTGAAGTCATCAATACCACAGACCATTTACACTTCTCCAGAGAGTGCAGCAGAGCCGTCCTGAGGATGCAGTACTGCCCTTACTGCCAGGGCCTGACTCTCAGCAAGCCTTGCATGGGGTACTGCCTCAACGTCATGAGAGGCTGCTTGGCACACATGGCAGAGCTGAATCCACACTGGCATGCCTACATCCGGTCATTGGGAGAGCTGTCAGATGCCATGCATGGAACATATGACATTGAACATGTGCTCCTGAACTTCCACTTGCTTGTTAATGATGCCGTGATGCAGGCTCACCTCGATGCACAAAAGTTATCAGAGCAGGTAAGCAGCCACTCCACACTCCCTGACTGATTTCTTAGAACTTGAGGGTTGGCCATATACATAAAATTAAGTGACTATAAGCACATTATTATGTACTTTAAAATTATGGCAACTTGGGGCGCCTGGGTGGCTCAGTCAGTGAGCGTCTGACTTTGGCTCAGGTCATGATCTCACAGCTTGTGAGTTCGAGCCCCATGTCAAGCTCTGTGCTGACAGCTCGGGGCCTGGAGCCTGCTTTGGATTCTGTGCCTCCCTCTCTCCCTGCCCCAACCCATTCACATTCTGTCTCTGTCTCTCTCAAAAATAAACATTAATTTTTTTTTAATTATGGCAACTTAATGAGTTAATACATTAGGAAATAGTAGGAAATTGTGTGGGTTTCCATATTTGATTCAAGATTTATTTTTTATTGGGGCACCTGGGTGGCTCAGTTGATTGTTAAACTCTTCATTTCAGCTCAGGTCATGATCTCCAGTTCATGGTATCAAGCCTTGCACTGGGCTCTGTGCTGACAGTACAGAGCCTGCTTGGGATTCTCTCTCTCCCTCTCTCTCTCTGCCCCTCCTCTTTTGTTCTTTCTTTCTCTCTCTCCCTCAAAAAAAATATATTTTTTATATCTTACAGTAAAATATTGGTTAGCTACTTTCCCCTTTCTCTCTAAGTAGAAGTCTTCTCATAGGATTAGTTCAGTGAGGTAGAGAGGACTCAGGTTTAAAATGGGGACCCACATGGATTTGAATCTGCATTCTGCCAGTAATTCTCAGATGCCTTAGACTCTTTGAGCCTGTTTCCTCATTGATAAAAAGAGAATAGTAGCACATAACTTTTAGAGCATTCTTTTTTGGGAAGATAGGCAATATGTATGCAAACTACCTAGAATGGTGCCTTTTACTAAAAAAAATTGGGTAGTTATTGTTAGCATTTCAAAGGTTTTCAACACTAAAATAGACATGCCAATTATATTTTCATTAAATGAAAACTTGACAGCTTAACGTTCAGAAGTGTTTCTTCAGAGACTCTTCAGAATCTGTCACAGTGATGGTGTAATGATTTTTGAAAATGTGGTATATGCAACATCATGGTGTTTTATTCCAAGAAGACTTTAGGAAGTTTTTGAAATAAAATCATCAAGTAAAAAGGACACAACAGTTTTCTATTTTTCCCACCTTCTGTAGAGCCATTTTCTTACATATTCACAGGCTCCTTAGTAACCTTCTCATATCCCATACAGTGAAGTAGGACATGTTGCTGATGTTTATCCTAAATCATTTCTCCTGAAACAAAATTATACTCCTCGGTGCTGAAAGAAGACCTCTCCCCATTGTGGCACTAATTTATCAAGTTAATAAACATCCTAATCATTAGCATTGGAAGTTGGTTTTCTTAATTTCTGATAGACATTGGATCTGAAAATCTTTGTGCCCAATCACCTCCTCCCCCTTTCTTCTTAACTTTGTGCCCAATCACGTAACTCCCCCTTTCTTTGCAGGGCCTGTGTGAGCCTGTAAGGTCCCCTTTGGCAGATTAGACATGGTGCCCTCTTTAGATGGATGCCACACCATTGTGTGGCTTGGCCGGTAGAAAGTGAGCTGGACTTCAACTCCTGCTTCCTGATTTATTCAGCTGGATGTTTTTATATAGTGAACAAGGTTCCCAACCATATGCACTGGTCCAGATCTTTCTTCAATCTGTCCCTTTCTGGAGATCAGATAAGTACTAGAACTTTTGGAAGGGATATAATAAACCAACTCAAAGTGAGACTTCTAAGGTTTCAAGTATTTCATAATTATGGGAAATAAACCTTTAGATCCAGGAAACAAATATTAGTATTATGATATTGAGTATCTCCAGAAGGGAAAACAGGCACAAGAGCTCTGAAATCAAGTCCAGATTTGATATTAATTTGAGGGCATGCCATGTAATCTCAAAGGGCCAGAGTTTTCTAATATACATAAGTAATTAGGTTTCTAAGATTCCTTTTACTATCTGTTTTGAAAACTGGAGGGCCTTTCTGTATCCTTAAAATCTATCACATAGAAAATTATCTATTTTTCCTATTTCAAACACTAAACTAACACAGGCTCATACTTGGATAAACCTGTTTTTAAGTCCTGACTTTGCTATTCACTGGTCATGTGGCCTGGGACAGCTACTAAAACCCTTTGATTCTGTTTTGTCCTGTGTGGAGAAGGTAGAAATGGTTCAAGTGGGAAAATGTCGGTAAGGCTCTGACGTTGGTAGACACCAGTACCCGAAATGCTTGCTTTATTTCTTTGCTTATTCTAAGTCCAGCCTTGAGCCAACCTCGGGGAAGCAGGTTACTTTAGAATCTCAAAGAGTGAGAATCATCATTATACTTGTGTTTTATAAAGAAGTTTTAAACAAAACTTTTGTCATATGAAACTCTGTGGTGAATTTATAAAGAATATTCTTTTCTTTTAGGCAAATCGTTTGATTTGATATAATCAGTAGTCCTAGGACTATCTTGAGAAACATCAATCATTACTAATAAGTTGTTAGATCCTTTTCTAAATAAAACAACTGAGATTCTCTTTTTTAACTTATGGCAACAGAAAAAGGAGATACTACTGACTTTAAATTCCTTGAAAATTGACTCATTAATATTTATTTCTGCCAACTTCAAAGTGATTTATAAGCTGTTTATCAAGCTTCGATAACCAGTTCACACATCAATGAATTTAACAAATTCAAAATAAATTACTGGAGAGCCAGCAAATAATGACTTTCTCACATTCCCAAAGCAATCTCTGAGATCTAGGACTTCCAAGTCTAGTCCTCAATAAATACATATTTTCACTTTAAGAAATCCATAGAGGTATCAGCTGTATCATATTTCTGTTGGATGAATTTCAACTGGAAAAAAAAAATGTTACCAGTTTCCTGAGGAAAATCATGAGTCTCTCCGGTTTAATAAGCCGTTAGGGAAACAAAATTTAATCTACAATAGGGTATTTTCATTTTATAATTATTCTGGGGATTAAGACAATACTTAATTTAATGAAGCATTAACAGAGAGCCAGCAAAGTGTAGATATTAAAAGCGCTGACTCTACTGTCAGACTGGATTTCACAGGTGCTCTGCCACTTACTGGCTATGAGTTTGGGCATTTGATTATTTAATCTCTCCTTTCCTTAGTCTCCTCTGTGGTGAAATGGGGCAATAATACCTACATCATAGAGTTCTCACCATAAAATGAGCTTTCACACTTCGATTAGTGTCTTATACATGTTAAATGTTTAAATCCTACTAATTCTTATCACTACTATAATCACTACTAATTATTTATCACAATAAATAATTATTATTTATCACAATAAATAATTATTATTTATGAATGCTTTGTTGATTTCTGTGGTGTTTTAAATGCTCCTAAAGCAAACATACCTTTCCTAATGTGGAATAGAGTTGAAAAAAATATTATAAATTGTCATTTAATGTAAGCAAATAATTGTAAAGATTTTCCTTGAATGAGGAAAAAAACTGGAATTTTCATAAAACTTTATACAACACTATAATGTGCTTTTAATATTAATTGATATTAATTAATAATATATAAAAATCATTTCATAATCATTACTAATGTTCAGAAATCATTTAATGATCAAATGATTTCTTGTGAGGAAATCATTTGTTTATTTTATAAAATAACACTTTATTTTTTGCTATTAATTACACATAGCATATTATTTATTAATATAATTTAATATTTTAACTTATTAAAAGAACCCAGAACCTGTGTTCATTTCAGTGGTTCAACATCTTCTAAATGGAGCAAATATTACTAAGAAAATCAACTGCACATTGATTCTATACAATTTTAGAAACGAAATGGTTTTTTTTAACTTTATTGACATATAAATGACAAAATCACATTTTTATTTAAATATTTGATAGAATTCATCAGTGAAAACATTTAGTCCTGGGCTTTTTGTTTTTCTTTCTTAATTTTTAAATTACCGATTCAGTCTCCTTACTTAACACTGGTCTGTTCAGATTTTCTATTTTTTTCATAATTTAGTTTTGATAGGTTCTATGTTTCTAGGAATTTACCTGTTTATTTTAGGTTATCCTGTTTGTTTGCATATAATTGTTCATGGCTGTCTCTATGACCCTTAGTATTTCTATGGTGTCAGTTGTAATGTCTCCTCTTTGACTTATAATTTTATTTATTTGAGTCTATATTTTTTTCTTAGTCTAGCTAAAGATTTGTACATTTTTTTTATCTTTTCAAAAGTCAGCTCTTAACATCATTGATATTTTCTATTGTTTGTTTGGTTTCCATTTCATTTATTTCTGCTTTGATCTTTGTTATTTCTTCTGGTAACTTTTGGCTTAGTTTATTCTCTTTTCCCTCTAGTTTCTTGAGGTGTAAAATGAGGTTGTTTATTTATGACTCCCCCTCCCACCCCACTGCCCTTAGTATAGGTACTTATCACTATAAACTTACTAGCTAGCACTGCTTTTGCTGGATCTCATAAATTTTGGTATGCTTTGTTTTCACAGTTGGGAGTTGGGGTTTCTCTCTGGATTGTATGGCGCCTTGCTGAAGGTGGGATTTATAAGTGTGTGTCTCAGCCTTTCCTGTTTCAGTGTAGGTATTTTCTCATTCACCCAATGTGCTCAGCTAGTTTCTGGAAATTTCTCTATGGGTAGTTGTACATTTGGTGCATCTGCAGGAGAAGGGGATTCAAGAGTCTCCTACGTTGCCATCTTAGGAATTACTACCACAAAAAGCTTTTTTTTTTTTTTTAAAGTCTGTAAGGGTTTAGAAACATAATTTCCAACAGTGAAAGTCCTAATTTGTATTTTTAAATAGATAATCAGTTTTTCACATCTCTTACCTATGCACTATTAGTAGAGATTCAGCTGGTTGCATTCAAATTACTTTAGAATAGCTATTCAATTCAATTTTAATACCTATCAAAATTGAGTTTAAGGTGAATTGTACACACTAGTGCACTCTAATTAAAGTATGTTAT